GAGAGGAGCCCCTCCTCTGGCTGGCGGCAGGCTTCAGCCTTTTCCTTCTCCCAGCTTGAGACTCCTGGGGACAACTCAGTTCCTTAGGGACCAATGTGTCAGTATTCTGAGAACCAAAGAGACAGACACAGAATAGGTGAACTCCGGCCAGGATGGCTACACCCTACTTCATAAGCTTCCTCTTTCTTGCAGTTGAGCTGGGACCACACGCTCCGTTCCCCAGCCCAGCCTCACTGCCCAGCCAGCGGGCCTCCACCAGCTCTGGAAAGAGGTCTCTGTGTCCCCAGTTTTGTGAGTTGTTTCCTTAGTCTATAACCAGATGCTGTAAACCCAGACCTGAGTTAACAGCTTCCCACAGCCTTGGATAGTGTTTGGGCTGGCTTCTCCTGAGGAGGAAGGTAGTTTCAGCATTCTGCTTATCTGTGGAGCAGGCCAAAAGAGCACCCAGTGGAGTGTGTTCACCCAGGAGTGAAGCCAGGGTGTAGTTCAGGAACACACATGCAATATTTCCTTTGTAAATTCCCTACATGAAATAGGGTTGGTTTTCAAAATCACAACTAATCCCAAGCTCTCTAGCTAAACTTCTGTGTCGGTGTTAAAATAACTTTAAGAGTTGTGATAATCATCTCTATAACAACAACAATTCATATGGAATTAATAAACTCAAAGCATTCTGGCCAGAACTTCATGGTGAGACTTAAGTAATAAATAATGCTGTTATCACAGATGTAGCAAAACATGGCCGCCAATTCGGGGACTCTGCCATGCCTAGGCACCGTGCTGGGCCTATGACACACAGTATTGATAACAGCTATACACCTACCAGGTTTCAGTGTGACAACCCTGCAAGATGATGTCTACGTTGCATGCAAGGAAGAGCCTCAGAGACATCACTGCTGGCCCCAGGCAAGCGCAGGTTGAAGGATTAAACTGTTGACCCATATTCATAGTCACAAATCAAGCAAATTGGTTTTGGTTGAAAATTAGAGAAACCGAATATGTTACAGACTCAGTTGCTTGTGATTCACCCAAATAAAGTCTTCATTTTTAAAAAATAAAGATAGAATAAGGAAGTTGGCATGATCTGAGTTTTTGTTTGTGTGTTTTACTGTCATGTGAAGGTGTTATGCCATAAAGGAAAGACTATCAAGGAGTGTGTGTGTGTGTGTGTGTGTTGTGTGTGTGTGTGTGTGTGTTTAACACCTAGAAGGGACAACTGCTGCAAAGAAAAGTGTAATTTGCCGTCAATGGATGGTGTGTGTGTGTGTGTGTGTGTTTGCTGTTGTAGCTCGTGGGGTGCAGAAGAGGCTGAGAGAAGCAGCACCCCCAGTGAGCTGTGTTAGCTGAGTGAAGAGGCAATGTGGTCAGAAGGAGGACAGAGCCAAAGTGCCTTAAAGGAAGCTACAGACGAGTAATGTGCGCTTGGCAGAAGACGGAAGTTTCTCTAGGGTTCTAGCCTCTGTGCGTGTGGCTCAAGGAGCACAGGTGGCAGGTTTACAATACATGTATTCACAGTGCTTTCCTTCTAGGTTCTCTAGAGAGCTGGCTCAGTTCAGTTCTCAAACATCTCATCTCAGGCTTCCTTCTTGTTTTGTCCTTCTATGGTGATTGAAAGTTTTGCTGTTTATAGGAGTCTGGGCTGGCATCCTTGGTCTCTTAATGTCTGCCTAACGCTTGACCAGGGCAGTCTGGCTTTCATTGTCAGGTGTAATTCTGATAGGCCTGCCTTTATATGTTACTTGGCCTTTTCCTTTCCAGCTATTAATATTCTTTATTGTGTAGGTTTAGTGTTTTGATTATTATGTGGCGAGCAGTTTTGTCCCGTCCCACCCCCACCCCGCGGTAGTTCTCTTGCCTTGCCTCCCCAGGTTCTAGGATTTCTGGCATGGACCCCCACATTCATCTTATGGCATTTCCTTTGAAAGGGTTGTGTGGTGCTGACAACCTGTCCTCGATTGTTTTGAGGAACAACTGTGGTAAAGGCCAGCCCCTTGCCAGCCCACTGTTGTCCTTGTCACTGCTCTAAATGAGCAAGAGTTTCACAGTCCCCAGGGGATATCAGCATGAATTCTGGGTGTCTAGATGGTTTGTAGCTGAAAACAGCCGGATACTGTTCTTGGGTCTCAACCACTTCAGCTATGGCTCAGATGACTGAATGTTGTTTTGACCGCCTTCCCTAAATGACAAACCCTAAACGTTTCTCAACTGCAGACCAAAGCTTTCAGAGTTGCTAAAACAATGTAACTGGAATTCAGCTAAATCCCAAGAGGAGGAAAGCCCGTCCTCTTATGAAACTGCCAGGCTAGAAACTGTTACCTGAGAAGCAGGCGCTCGGCAGATGGAGGCAACAGACTAATGTCTACAGGTCAAGATGCTCTCCGGGATATTTGGGTCTCAGAATAGAATCCACTTAGCAGGATAAAGAAACCTAATCGGCAATGTAGGAAATGAACATTTTTTTGTTCCTGGAAGCTAAGCCACCTGGTGATTTCTATTCAAATCTTCTGGGGTTTCTAACTAAATTGTAGTCTGTTTGCTTTTTGGAAATGATGGACCCACAAGCCATAGCGAAAGGTCCTGTCTTTGCTCCTCCTCTCCCTTCGTTACCTTCCTTCTCCCACCGTGTGGACCCTATAAGTATGTACAGTGTGTAAAATTATTATAATAGTCCTAAGCCATTTTGATGTTGTTTGCGCTCCTTTTAAGAAGAATGTTTGACTTGTAAGTTTTCGGGGGCTTTTCAGTAGTATCCCTATGCCAATGCTGAGCAGACAGAATTAGCCAATAGCTCTCGGGCTTCTAATCAGGCTCTCAGAGGGGACAGAAGTCATCCATTCCTGTATTCAAAAAGATGCATCTCTATTTGCACTTCCTGCCCAGGTTTCTAGCATCCTAAATGGGCAGAACCAGGGAGGAAAGGTGGTATTGGGTCTGAGTGCACCCACAAGGCAATAAGAACCAGGCATCAGGGCCTCAGTCACATGTCCTTAGCAAAAATTTGGGGGACTTTGGACCAAAGAAACCATGAGGAGACCCCCTACAAATGTCATCATGTGGAAAACTTTTATTTAAATTGATTGTGTACTCCAAAATAGCCAGAAAAAAAAATGGATTTTGAATGCTCCCAGCACAGCGAAATGGTAACCACTCCAGACCATAGATTTGCTCACCATCCTGATTTGACTCTATTTACATTTTATTGTATATAAATATAATACACAATATGCCTTAAATATATCCAAACATGTGTTAATGAAAATAATTTAAAGTTAGCAGTTATTTTTAAATTAATTTTATCAATCTCCGCAAGAATGCATTAAGTCCAAACAATTGCACAAAAAAGACTCATTTGTTTGATAAGAGTTCTCTCTTGCCTTTTACTAGAGTTTTTGCCTATGGCCAGTATCTTAGAGCAAGGGAGTTTCTTGCTAGGGAGTCAAGGGAGGAACAAGGAACAAATGAATGAGATCATCTCCCTTTTCCACACTTGCAGTTACCAATGCCTGCCTTCCTGCTGGGTTGTCTGCCCTCAACTCAGTAAGTCACAGACTGGTCAGCCAAGCCTAGTCATGCTTCCAGCACTGCGTTATCCTGTTCAGCAACACACAGGTTAGTTGACTCACTGCAAGCAGCAAAGTGCCCTGGGTGTTCACTAGCAAACGTGTATGGAGTTCACAAATGCAGGAAGGCCCTAGAGTTGGGATGAGCTGTTTGGTGAGAGGTCAGTGAACAGCTACCAAGAGAAACATGCAGGAGACAAGGGAACAGGACCCATTTGGGCTAGGACAGGGAGGAGTTTTAGGCCTTTGTCTAAGACCTAGTATGAGCAAGATGCCCAATTTTCTGAGGCTATTTATTTTTTGATCTCCAACATACAGGGATCTCCAGAGTCCTGTTTTCTATGGATTTCTTTTTGGAGAGAGAGAGAGAGAGAGAGAGAGAGAGAGAGAGAGAGAGAGAGAGAGAGAGAGAGAGAGAGAGAGAAACGTGTAGGTGTCCACAAATGTCCAGAATAGGAGAGAGAGAGAGAAACGTGTAGGTGTCCACAAATGTCCAGAATAGGTCATCAGGTCCCTGGAGCTGGAGTTACAGGTGGTTGGTGAGCTGAGCTCAGGTCCTCTGGAAGAGCAACAAATTCTTTTAATTACTGGGCCATCTTTCCAGCCCTTAGAAAAGAAACCTTAATTTTTCTCAAACTCAGTTTCATGGGGTTCTTGTACATTTATATGTCCACACTTAATCCATGTAAATCTATCACTAAAGTAATTTGGTTCTTATTACTAGAACACGGAAGTCTTTAAGGCTGAATTGTCATTATTTCTAGAGTTCGCTTGCAAATGGTGGGTGGCAAGGAAAACACGGGTAGCACTAACCTCGGCAAAATGTAAGTGATAAATCTACATCGGAAGTAGCCAGATGTTTATGGCACGGTGGCGTCCCCTGTCTGTAAGCTCGACATCTCTCCCGGTACCTAAACAAAAAGATGTAAGGGGGGAAGAATAGAGTGTTGTGGTCTGTGCCTGGGCAGGAGTGTGCTTGCGGTCTCTAAGCCTCTTCTGGAGCGACAGGTAGGAGAACACCATGCCCAGCCGTCTACGTTTTCTAAGCGTTCTTTGACTGTCGGTCATGGTAAGATGCAGGGGAGTTTGCAAGTCTTTGAGTCCAGTCTGGGCACAGGAAATTGTAGCTAGACCTTGGGATGAACCAAGTCAACCCCAGGCCACTGGGCCACGCCTCCTACTGTCCAGATCCCAGCCAATCAATGTGGGCACGCCCACCTCCTTGTTACATATGTATGACCCTGACTGGCCTTCTGGCTTCTTTTCTGTCCCCGGCACCAGATGCAGGCAGGCAATTGCTCCTGCTTCTGAGGGAGGAGGGCACATTAGCTCTACAGGCCCCTTTCCGAAAGCTCATTTGAAACAGACCCCTGCCTGCAGGCTCCCAGCCTCCCAGCTCCTTCACTATCCTCAGGGACCACTGGCAGCAGACCAGGCCTCATGAAAACTTCAAAGGCATCCCAGCGCTACAGAAGCATCCGGAGAAACGCCAGTCAGTGCTACCTCTACCAGGACTCCCTGCTGCTTGGGTAAGTGCCCTGCTGGGTTTCTCCGAAATGAATGCCTAAACTTACTTCTCTGGGGTCACATAGGAGCTGGGGTGTCGAGCACAGCAATGCTCCCCCAGAGGGAGAAGCAGCAAGCTGCTGTTTCTTGACTGGAGCTATATTTGGCCCTCACTTTGTTGCCGGCCAGTGGGGCGCACACCAAAAGCCCACACTTGTGCTTCTTCCGGCTTGTCCCCGTTTCCTTAGTGCTAGTGTGGGAAGAGAGCAGACAAGACACCTGTCACCTCAGATAAATCAGGTGTCCCTGGAAAAGGTCTCTGATGACTTAGAAGTGGGCGAGGGTGGGAATTGAATGTGTTCGTTTTTTATTAGGAATTTTGTTGTTGTTGTTGTTGTTAAATACTGAAACCTCTGCTAACTCTGGAGAAATTTCTGCTTCAAGCAGATAAAAGACATCTCAATGAGAGCTAAAGAAAATGTTTTCTCTTGCTAAAGTCATAGGTTATTCATCTCCACTTAAAAATGTATTGAGTTACATACTAAATATTACTAGGGGGAAAGGCCCTGTTATTGTTGAGAAAGTGTTCTTCTATGCAGTAGCTATGCCCCCAAGGAGTCGTCCCGTGCGTCACTTAACTCATTCTTTCTTTGCAAAAACCACTCACTTAACTTTCTTGTCTTGGCTTTAAAACGAACACAGGTGAACACTGAGGCATCTCTAGGTGATACATGTCTGTAGGAGAAGGAGGCAGTGTGCCTCCAAACCATACTGGTCACCTGGGTGAGCCTAAAAATGAGACTGTGTCCCCTATCAAAACTGTTGCACCTCTAGCATGGGTTCAAATGTAGGAAACCCTCCTCTCCTCTCTCCTTTGGTGCCTCTTGCCTTGGAAATCACTCTTTTTCGCCGAGCACTGAAGTAATAGAGTCCCACAAATGAGTTTCTATGGGCTCCTGAGTCTCAGCCTGCGCGCACGCGCGCGCGCGCACACACACACACACACACACACACATCATACAGTTGACCCTAGGACAGTCAGATGCAGAAAATACCCAGGAAAGATGTTCTTTGCTGGAAGCAATTCTGTAATCAGATTTCCTCCACAATGCCCCGTTTCCATTCAGTAACTCGGATGACAGCTTTAATGCCGATGAAACAGGGGACAGCAGTGATCCGGAGCAAATCTTCCAGAATATACAGTTCCAGAAAGATCTCATGGCCAACATCCGTTGCAGACCCTGGACCATGGGTCAGAAGCTGCGGGCGCTGAGGTAAGGGCCTCCACGGCGATCATTAATAAGTGCGAATATACTTTATGATAAACAACCCATCCTGCCATGGAACCTGGGGGAAGAGGGATGCTGGAACCGTGACCATCTTGCATCTGACTCAGAGAAGTCCCAGCGATGCTGGAAGAAGCCATCTAGTAACATAGCTGTTACAGTGCCTGTGTGTGTGTGTGTGTGTGTGTGTGTGTGTGTGTGTTGGTAGACAGTTTGAAGTTTCTAATCTCTTTTCTAAACACTAGATTTTCACATTGTCTCCCAATTCTCAGGAGACAGGGTGAGAGCCAGAATCAAAGAGACATCCCCTTCGCCTCCCGCTTTTGTCTCTCCTGGGAAGGAAGTCTCTTAAGTGGCTGACCAGGTTATTTGGATATATTTTGAGTCTATCAGAGAATCTGTCTCCCTCATAGTTAAGTGCTTAGACTTTTAAGACAGATTCCCTCCTTGAATTCAAACACTACCCCTTTTCATCTCTAACTGTTCATCATTGGACAAGATCCCTAATTTCTCTGATGCAGGGTCCTCTTTAAAGCTGAAGCGGCATAGGCTATGACTCCTACCTCCTGTAATGGTGTTGCTGAAAATGGCGATGGTCAAGCCCTCAGAGTGCTGTCAAAAACACGGCCTGTGGCACCTCTCAGCAGCAGAGCCAGACACTATGGGAGATGAACTCAGTCTCCCCTACCCTGTCTCCTCTCTTCTCTGTGACCCTAGGGATGGATCCAAGGCCCCACACTTAATAGTCCATACTCGACATCCCAGGCCCCAAGCAGTTTTAATATTCATTCAGCTTCATCCTTTTGTCCACTCAAGTTTGAACTCCTGAGGTTTGAGCTTATTGAACATGAGATGCGCTCAGCACTGTGGGTGTTAGTTATGTGTTCAATGTGCATGTAATGTGTATGTAGTATGTAATATGCATGCCTAAAAAGGGGGCAGTTGTCACAGATCCCATAAGGGGAGTTGGCGGCATGGTCTTCATAACTGATGTTACTGAGCTGTGATGGTGAACGTTATGTTTAGAGGCTAAATTTCCTGTGCGTCAGTCCCTAGACCCGCTGTTCAGGCACCTCCTGTGTCCCCAGAACCACGGTCACATCGTGCTCTTTGGGGTGGTTTGCTAGATGCCGGTGCTCATTCCTTTCCCTTCACACCGCCTATCTATCAGGCTGGGGCATCTTCCTATCGAATCATCCTTTCCTGGGACTTGACTCCCAGTCTGATCAACACGCCTCTTGGTTAAAGACATCCACACTTCCGTCTCGGAAGGCTAGCCTGGGTTCTCCTCTGCCCACTTCCCCGAATGCCTGGTTCTGGATCTCATCATCTTCATCCTTTGAGAGTGGGTAGCAATGTGCCCACATGTCTGATGAGAAAGACTAATTGAGAGTGATTGAGAAAGCAGCCTAAGCAAATACACACACACACACACACACACACACACACACACACACTTCCCTAACCCTATTCCCCTCACCACCCCTGTACTCCCAGCTCCCACCCCCACGCCCCATCCCACCCCCCCCCACAGGCCCACCCCGCCTTTAATGTTGAGATCAGCTTTAAACTAGACCCTTTGGGCAAAATAGAAGAGATTCCCTGAGAGTCCTAAGGGTGGGTGGGGACAGGAAGTTGAGCAGACCAGGTTGGGGGTGTGGCAATTGAGGAGGGGGGACCCCTGAAAGAGACTACTGGAAAGTGGGAACATTTCAGGGTTAGGTAAAAACTTGACAATGTCCCTTTCTTGAAGCAGGCTCCTTGAAGAAAAAAAAAAGTATGGCTTTCACTACTAAAAAAGTGACTAAAAGCTACTGGAGAGGGGGTGGTCTTACAGAGAATTGGGGGCAATTTCCAGGACATACAATAGCTGCTTGAAAGGGTCTGTAACTCCAGTCCCAGGGATTCTAGCTCCCTGACCTCCACTGGCACTGCACTCATGGGGAACACAAACATACATGCAGAAAAACACACATATACATAAAAATAAAATCTCAAGAAATGTAATAAAAAGAAATGCCTGGAAGACTCAAGCTGTCAAGTGGAAGAGTTGAGGTATATTGGGTACTCTCAGGATACCCAAAGTCTATGATGCCCAGTCAGCTACTGGCTGATAAACACTTGGAGAAATTCAGTCATAACTAACTGGTGTGGATTCTCTATTTCCAATTAGTTCATCCACAAAAAATGTTATGACAGTTGTGAGATTTGTGTGTGTGCATGTGTGCATCCACAAGTGTGTGTTCAAGCACACCTGCATGATTTTATGTATACCATGATGTGTGTACAGGCATCTGGAAGTCAAAAAGGGCACCCAAACCCCTGGAACTGGAATGGTAAGTGACTGTAAACCACCACGTAAGTGCTGGAAACAGAACTCGGGTCCTCAGAAAGAGCAGTAAGCAGTCTTAACTGCTGGACCACCTCTCCAAACGTTTAAAACAGTTTAAAAGGCATTTTCTTGTTAGCAAAAGTCAGGAAACGAAATATTTTAATTCCACTCCTGTATCAGTTGGTGCTTTTTTTCCTGCTCTGCCTTCACATATTTTGAAAACTGGTGAACGTGGGAAAGTTGTGGTAACTTTTATGTTTTTCTTCTCCCAGACGAGCAAAAGAGATTGTGCTGAAGTTTGAAGGGAGGTTGACTAGGACGCGAGGCTACCAAGCAGCTGGAGCAGAGGTAAAGAGCCCACATGAGGCACAGCTGGCCTCATTTGCTACTGTCTCTAGAACCCAGAAGTTTCTGTCCCACCTGGTCCCGCAGCTGTTCAGTCCCAAAGAAACACACACAGACTTATATTAATTACATTACATTATATTAATACATACCGTAATTATATTAATTACAAACCGTTTGGCCTATAAGCTCAGGCTTATTTTAACTAGCTCCTACAACTTAAATTAACCCATAAGTCTTGTCTAAGTTTAGCCACATTGCTTGGTACTTTTTCTCAGTAAGGCATTCTCATATTGCTTCCTCTGCACCTAGCTTGTGACTGATTCTCTGTCTTTCCTCTTCCCAGAATTCTCCTGGTCTGGTTGCCCCACCTATACTTCATGCCTGGCTACTGGCCAATCAGCATTTAATTGAGCTAATATGAGTGACAAATCTTTACAGTGTACAAAAGCATTATCCCACAACAAGAAGCACTGTTGTCCCCAGTGGCCATACATAGGCTAGGAGCACCCAGCATTAATAACTGCAGAATAGGGGACAAGACCGCAAGTTTGAACTCTGCCACGCCTGGATCTTAGCCTTGGGTACCACCAGTTATCAGTTGTATAATATGGGTAAGCCTGGTTCGTTTTTGTAAGAACTATCTAAGACCCTTCCTGACTCAACCCCATACATGTAAGTTGCTCTTGCTTCTTTCTCTATATGTGCTATATCGTTATTAAATGAAATCTTCAGACAGTTATAAAGGAAAAGGATAGGGTGCCACCCACTGACCTCAACTCCTCCCAGTACAGATGAGCCAATGGCTGCCCAAGAAAAGAACTTCCTGGGGCTCATGATGAGACAGATGTACAGTGAGAACTAGAGCCAGATCTCTGACTCCTGCCCTGTGCTTCTTTGGCATTAGGACTTTAAACCAGTGCAGATACCGGATGTTTAATAAGTCCAGGCCTTGGCTGAAGGATGCTTGAGCAGCCCTGCCTCTGGAGACCATAGGGGCAGGAGGGGTCAGAAAGTTTGGTATATTTCTGGGCTCTGGATATGAGGCAGGTATGCAAAACGCAGATGATGCCAGGCAGACATAAGAAAATTGCAAGGAAGACCAGTGACCCTAATAAGCAAAATCCAGAGACAAGGCTACCTCTTCCTGACTGCTCACATGCAGCCTGTGTGACCACTCATGGGAGCAGTGTCTGTCTTTGACTTGTCTCTCAAATCGTGAGCTAAAGACAGTTCCAACTTCTGATAAAACTCAGATTTCCATGTACACGCAGTCGTCTGGCCTTAGCAGATGCATGCAGAATGACATTATCCTGTGAGTCTGTGTTAGGACCGTGTGCTGTCTTACAGTTGGGAATGCGGTAATTACATTTGTGGCTCTTCCTTGTGCAATGATATCATTTGCTTCCAACACAAGCCTGGACTGTTTGTGTGTTAGAATGCACAACCTGTCAATTTTGCTGGAGAGCAGAGCCGGCATAGGCCACATTCTTCTTTGTTCTCCTTTGAGAACGTAATGATTTCATACTCTTGGCAATTGTATAAGTCCACAAGACAAAATTCCCAAGCTTATTCTTGGCAGCTTTGGACAGGACAAAGGCCAGAAACTAGCTTGTAGGATGCAAGATGAATCTGGGGGTGGAACTCATTTTCAGGGAAGATTCTAGACTTTTGGTATTTAGCCAGGGTACAGATAGAATCATCTGAGGAGCTGGTGAATCAAACAGATTTATAGGCTCCACTCCCAGAGCTCCCAGGGGTCTATGGCTGGGTCAAATGGATATCTTGAGATGACATTCTTCACATGATTTCCCCTTTCCTCATCCTCAACCCATAAATAAGGCAGACTTTGACCCAAAAGAGTATAGATCTTAGGGCTGGGGTGTAGCCCAGTTAATAGTATGGTTGCCTAGCCTGTGAAAAGCCCTGATCTCAATTAGCATTACACTAACTGGATGTGGTGAGGTCCTCACACGTGAGGCAGAGACAGAAGGATCAAAGTTCAAGATTATACTTAGGTGTATTGTGAATTTGAAGCCAACCTGGGATTCATGAGAGTCTGTCTCCAAAAAGGAATACAGAACTCATAGCACAGAGGGCAAACTGTTAAATACTGTCTGGTCAGGACACAGGGAAAATAAAGGGCTACTTTGGTCTTGGAGATGCTAATGACCTGAGAAGCCATAATTAAGGGTTCTGTGGGTGTGTATGGGATCCTCTCCTCTACCCAGAACCCCATTACCGAGGTAAAGAATGAGAAGATTCCTAAGCATGGCCTCTCCTGTGTAGCTCTGGCGGAAATTCGCCCGTTTGGCCTGCAACTTTGTGGTCATCTTCATCCCCTGGGAAATGAGGATAAAGAAAATTGAGAGTAAGTATCTGCTGGAGGCGTGGAGGGGGGGATGTACAGCTGTGGCCGGCACACAGCCTAAGACATCTGGTGGGTCTTGGCCCTTATGGCGTAGAGTCAACCAGGGCACGTGTACAGCTAGAGGCCCAGCCCAAGTGGGACTCAGAGTTGGAAGACCGGGTACCTTCCACCACCTCCCAGGATGGAAAAGGACACCGGCTGCGTTTCCATGCTCAGGCATGGCCGCATATTCATTCCTAGTTCGTTCAGTCAGACGGCAAACTCTGAAGGATCAGTGAAAAACTCTGAGAGATATAAACTCCCAGATATAAACATGAAAATACATGTTTTTATAGAATACTGTAAGCGTCTAGGAAAATCCATGCTAAAAATAAATAAACCACACCCCAAACTCCTCCTTCATCCTCTCCTTCTTCTCCTGGTCCACATGCCTAGAGGAATCAACAAACTTTAAAATGTCCCAAAGTGAAGATGAGCTGGAGCCAAGCTGATGAAGCTGGAGCCAAGCTGATGTTATTCTTTTGAAGAGACAGGGGAAACATTCATTTAAAGTTGTAGACATTCCCAAAATTCAGTTCCCAAGTCTAATGCAATTCCACAAATCTGCTTGGTGTGTTATTCAGCGTCTTGATCACATGGTCCTAAAATGCAACGTAGCACCACTCTTGCTGTGTGTGCTGCTGCCGGTGAAGGTGAAGGACGATGCTGGACGCAGGCTTTCTGTGCTGGGAGGATTGATCAGAGCCACTCTCATGTTGCCTTCCCACAGGTCACTTCGGATCTGGTGTGGCCTCCTACTTCATCTTCCTGAGGTGGTTATTTGGAATTAACATAGTGCTCACAGTGATGACGGGTGCTTTCGTTGTCATTCCCGAGGTAAGAGTTGTCCCAGGAGCCGGCAGGTGCAAGGCGTGAAAGAGAGGCAGGTGCTCCAGCCTGCTGCCCTCGCGGTCATCATAGAAGCCTAGGAAGGACGTGGCAAGCTTTCTGCCAGAGAACATGGTGAATGCATTGGACTTTGTCACTGCCCTTTAGATCTGCCATGTATCGCAAAAGAAGGTTTGAGCCTAGCAGAGACCAGGGAGGGTGGCTGAAATCTGAATTTCATATCATGTTGTTTTCCTTTTGATTATTTTCCCCAACCACTTAATGTTATAAAAAACCATTCATAGCCATATCTCTCTGGTCATACAAGAAGAGGTGACAGACTATATTTGGCCTAGATGCTGGTTTGCCTGCCTGGTATTCCATCTAAACTCCTTATTTAAATATAGAACTGTTGGTTTCCTCGGGGCATAAGAGGTCTGGGGACCTCAACGGTCTAGCCACAGAAGCTACTTCTAGGTCTTTCACGTGGGTTTACATAATAACAACACAGCAAACCTCAGTCACGGCATCTGCACAGACACATGGGGATGCGCCAATTCTTCCTTCTAGTCCCCTAGCCCAGAGGAGCATCTTAACTCTTCCTCTTTTACCAGTTAATCGCAGGCCAGCCCTTTGGAAGCACAGCCAGCAAGACCATCCCCCAGGAGCAGGTCATGTCTGCACAGGATTTGGACACTGTCTGGTCCCTGGGGGTAAGGCTAACGTTGGCTACACCCAGGCCTTGCAGGAGAGCTGAAAGGGCCACAGTTCTGGGATGTGGGAACCAGAGACCACTCTTGGCTCTCTTTGCAGGGCTACCTTCAGTACTCCGTCCTGTTCTACGGGTACTATGGAAGAGAGAGGAGGATCGGGAGAGCCGGCTATCGCCTGCCCTTGGCATATTTCCTGGTGGGGATGGCAGTGTTTGCCTACAGCTTCATCATCCTCTTAAAAAAGTATGACTGTCGATTTCTCAAAACCATGTCTGGAGTCCGGTTAGAACATGTGTGATCTCACTCCATCCTGTCAATAGCCCTGTTAAAGTCGTGAATCCCTAACCATTTTATAGAGGAAGAGAGCAAGGCTTGAGAGTTGTTCTAATTTTAACCAGCACTTACTGAGCACTGACTACTTTGCTCAAGGCTCTGTGAAAGGTTTAGAGAGGAAAGCTTAACAATTTATGTGCTATGTGTGGTTTTAGAAAATGCCGTAGCTGTGCTAATAAGTTGCAATCAATGACATCCAGGCGACAGAGAGAAAATAGCTCTCTTTGTATGTTTACCAGTGACCAGGTGATGAATCATGCCGTTGGTGCCTCTTAGTCATCATTGAGAGGAGGTTACCATATAAAGGGACCTCTAACAAACTGGCTAGAGTTAAGACTCCTGCAGTGCCCACCGTGAGCTCCACCAGCTTCACCCAGAGCCCTGTGGCAACTCAGTTTTCCTCTTCGCATGCATTGGCTTGGAAAAGTACCAGGCTACCAGGCCCCCTCCCAGGTTAGCATCCTGTGTAGAGCTAAGGGAGAAAGAGAGAGACAGAGACAGAGAGAGAAAGGGAGACAGAGATAGAGACTTGCAAGGGCCTTCAAATGATTGAAGGCTCTCAACTTACCTCCTGGTGGCCTGAAGCTCTCACCAGAACAATTTCAATCCTTTCCTAGGTATTAATCGTTAAAAGCAACTCAGAGAAGATGTGAGAGCAAGAAAGTAGCCAGGGAAGAAAGCTAATGTTTATTACTGGAGAAATGGCCTAAAAGGCAGAGAGAGGGGTCTCCTGTCTTCAAATATCTAAGGAATGCCCTGGCAGGAGGGACTCAGCAGTTCTTAGGGATCCCACGGGGACGAGTTACCATAGGCAGAAGCCACAGGAACATGGCTTGATCTCAGGGGGATGGTGACAACTTTACCATCACAGCTGCAGACATGAGGAGTCCTGGGACAAGGGTACATCAATGGCTGCTGGCCACCACTGTGCCGGTGGGACTGCCTATCAGATAGTTACCCATGCCATTTCCTACTGGGGAAAGGATGGGCTGAGGGTCCAAGTGCGGTTAAAACGCAGCCAGTGCTCTGCTCATCAAGCAGGGATTGAGGACCTGTGTCAGAGGACAGTTTTGCCCCATGTCAGGTTGTGGCACCCTGGAGAGGGTGTGTGAGACCCACTCCTGTGACTGACTGGGGCCTCTCTTGCAGAATGGCTAAGAACTCACGCACAAGCCTGGCCAGTGCTTCCAATGAAAACTACACCTTCTGCTGGAGGGTATTTTGTGCCTGGGATTACCTCATTGGGAACCCAGAGGCTGCAGAGAGCAAAACAGCCGCCATTGTGAACAGCATTAGGGTGAGTGGAAAGACTGCGAGGCAGTCTGCGCCCCCTGCTGGCCAAACCAGCTGCTCCCTTTCCTCCCAGCCCAGGGCAGCAGATCCAGGGAGGTCAACATGACCTGGAAATGCACCAAAAAAAACTTATAGGATGTAAGAAGGAAAGCTCAAAACAACTCTTAATATTTCTATATATTGTTTTGTCTTAAAATTTTGACTTGTGTATTTTTTATAATTTACAATGATGGCTTCTTCTTCTTGGTTTTTTGAGACAAGGTTTTACTGTAGTTTTAGAGCCTGTACTGGAACTAGCTCTTATAGACCAGGCTGGACTCAAACCCACAGAGATCCACCCGCCTCTGCCTCCCGAGTGCTGGGATTAAAGGCGTGCCACCAGGGACCAGATTACACAATGGATTCTTAAAGCCTATAAATGAATAAATACTTCTACATTATGTATGTAAGGTTTTATCTTTAACTTAGAAAGTCAGTGTGATTGAAATCAGTCAGAGATTTGGGTCAGCTGAATGTCATAGACAACCAAAGGAAACCTCGTTCTGAGTGGAAAATATTTCCGTGATCCAACATATCACAGCCTTTTCTCTCCACTCTTCCTTCCCAATCTCCTTTTTTGGCTTATTGATTATTAGATAATCGATATTTAATTCGTTGCTGTCAATAGAAACTTATAGACCAAAGTCATAGACATTGAAAATAAGAATTAAGATAATAGATCAGTGTTTGGGGGTGAGTTGGTTTTGTTGATGTGGTTTTCATTTTTCTTTTTGCTTTTGGACCCAGGCTGGCTTCACAGTTACCGTGTGGCCAGGCACCTGAAGTGAATCCTCCTAAGGACTGGGATTACAGGGTGTGCCCAGTTGGATACATTATTCCTAGTGATTGTAATGGGTTTTGAGGCTAAGTTTCCAATGCTGTGTGTGTTTTTTCCTTCCAGGAGGCCATACTGGAAGAACAAGAAAAGAAAAAACACAAAAACATGTAAGTATTAATAAACCCATTCATTAATTTTTTCCCTCATTTGGCTCGAAAAGATATCAAGTTATTGGTATCTTATTTTCATAATTGTTAGGCTCCTCCTTCCTCTTATCGTCAGTCTCCTTAGTAACGGGACCTGTGGGAAGCTTCTTCCTTTCCCATCGTAGTCTTTAAAAGTGCTTTCTCCTTCTGCACCCACTGCGCCTGGCCCGTCTCTCCCCCCACTGCCATTCCTCTTCTGCTGGAAGCTTTACGCGAATTCCTGTCTGTGTCGCAGAACTCTAGTGTGTATATGTGAGTGGGGTGTGTATGAATATACAGGTTAGAGCAGGTATGGATACACATGTGTATGCATGAATGCCAGAAGCACATAGCATGTGTCTTTCCTCGGTCCGATCTACCTTTATGGTTTGAGGCCGGGAGCTCATTTGCACAGGTTTGCTGGCCAATGAGCTTCCGGGATCTGCCTGGCTCTCAGAATCTGAACTCAGGTCCTCATGCTTGCATGACAGGCACTTTATAGCGGAGTCACCTCCCCATCCCTAAAGGACTCCTATTATAAAGTGACAAACCTTGAACCGAAACCCACATACTCGGACCCTAAAACACAGAACATGCACGGGACAGATGTATGCCATCTAACTGCTTTTAGAGTGAATGCTAGTTATAAACCATGTTTGATGGTTTCTTAAAAGTTCCAGGCGGCTGGCTGGCTTGCCAAATTTATAGCTCTGTTGAACTCGCAGAAAACCGGAGGTAGAGGAAGCGGAGAAGCAGCTTGAGGAAGCAGGGGGGAAGACTCTCATCCTGAAGTCCTACCATCTGCCTCCTTTTCTCTTCAGGGCGGTGACTGTCTGCCTGAGAATCATCGCCAACATCCTGGTGCTCCTCTCGCTGGCTGGGAGCATCTATCTCATCTACTTTGTGGTGGACAGGTCCCAGAAGCTGGAACAGTCGAAGAAGGAGCTGACACTTTGGGAAAAGAATGAGGTACCCGTTGACCAGCAATTATACTAGCAGGTTGCGCTTCAAGGGGGGATGTGGCAAAATTTTTCCTCCTCTCTGCTTTTTTAGCGAATCAGAACAAAATATCTCTAGAAATGACGGTAGCCTGCTAGTTCTAGAGTACGGACCAGGGCCTTCAGCTCCACCAGCGTCAAGTCCTAGTTGAATAGCTAGGAAGACCTTCACTCAGGAACTCCCCCGGGAGCTCATACTGACCCCCAAGGTTCGGCTTTGCCCTGCTCACTTCTATTCCTGTGCGTCCACACTCTAAACATGGGCTCTGCCCACAGACCTGCATCAGTGTCCACACTGACGCGCAGTGTGTGCCTCAAATCCCTCTAACTGTCTCATCCGACACTTGGGTAGTTTCCAGAACCAGCCCCCCAAAATACAAAATATACAAAAATACAAAAAACAAAAATAACCCTAAACCATCTTTTGGATTACTCTGATAAAAAACTAACTAGCATCCACTCTAAAAGCAGTTAGATGGCATACATCTGTCCTGTGCATGTTCTGTGTGTGTTTACCCATGTGCAATCATTTTAGAACCTGAGATTACACCAGGTAGCCTTTCCTATGCCTCCTTGTGTTTTATACCAGTTATATGGGTTAAGTAAATTTGTACCTATTTGCACATTTATAAAGTGGCAAATTTTAAAACATCCGTTCAGAAATTACTTCTTAAGTTAGCTCAAACGTCTTGTGAACCAGCTTAAATTCGCCTTTCTTTTGCCATCAGCCCAGACAAACAAGAGCCAGGCATGGTTCTCCAGATAATTAATCCCCCGTGTACAGAGGGATATTCAATTACGTCTCTGCCTTCCCCTTTCTGATCATAATGGTCGCAATTATTTCCATCCTCCATCCAAGGTCAGGGAAGTATAAATACAATGAATTGGTGATTGGTACTTGTGACAGAAATGCTACCGAAGCCCAGGCAGCATGCAGAAGCATCCTCATGACCTTAAAGGAGCTTTCTGGAAAGGAACAAACTCAGACTTGGGGAGGTTTCTAAACAGCAGCTCAGTGTCCCTGTGAATGGTAGGTGGCCCCATAAAAAACCAGCTGTGGTTGTGGGAAGTGGGGCTTGAGAAACATATGCTCTTTCTACAGGTGAGTGTGGTGGTCTCCCTTGTCACCATGATAGCACCATCTGCCTTTGACCTTATTGCTGCCTTGGAGATGTACCACCCCCGGACGACGCTGCGTTTCCAGTTAGCAAGGTATAGCATCCTGGCCGGAAGAGCCCCAAGGTGGCTCAGCCATCATCCACCCACAAAGGGACTGGATTCCCGCAGAGTTACGGCATGCTTCTTTTCTTCTGCACTTAGCAGAAAGCTTTCCCTGGGGACATAGCTCAAGAAAAGCCGGGGGGACAACGGGAATGAAAGAAAAGGAGTCAGGGAAGGAGCGAACAGAATGATGTGGGTAACACAGCTGGAATTATGGGTAATGAAGAAGAGGAAGCAGAAAAAGAAGAGGAGGGACAGAGGGGAAGAGGGGGGACATGGCAGGAAAAGCAGACACAAAAGAACAGCAAGATGATGGGATGTGTGTCTGGGTTTCCTCATTAGTGAATTCCCTCTGTGGTTGGACTCTGAGTGGCAGAATAGACCCTCACTGTTTGCCAGACGCACTCTGCTATTAACTACCCAAGCAAAAGTTGTGCGACTTGATGCACGGTACCAAGACAGCCAGTGGCCGCCACGGCAGATGTCGAAAGCAGATGTTGTCTGAGCTGCAGCAGACTGTGTGCGCACACAAACATTCCAAGAGCGCCTCCTCGATACTTAGAACCACATCCGTGTCTAGCAAGGTCTGGCTTTCTAAAAAAAAAAAAAAATCTGCTTATCTTCCCTGGATTTCTTTCTCCTCCACTCGAGTGATACGTTGGTAAGCAGAGAACATGGTAGAGGAGGTTCCTGTCCACGCTGGCTTCTCCATGCCATTTCCTGCAACAATTCGTGACACTCCCCCAAACCTCAGAACACCCTGGGAAGGATTGCTTCCACTCAGGAGTCAGTAAATACCTTCTAAAAAAAAAAAGACATAGCAGCCAAGATTTTAGATTCTGCCATCTTTGCATCCATCTCCATCCCAACTACAAGTACTAAGGAAGAAGCATGAAAATGACCGCGGTTGATAGGGCAAACCAAGGGCTCGGCTGTCTGACAGTACTTTATTTACTAAAATAGGTGAAAAGTATTTTTTGGCTTGAAGCCTCCAGTTTCCCGACTCCTGAAATCCTACTGCCATAAAGACAGAATGCCGTCGCCAGAAAGTCAAGGAGTTGACCAAAAACCCACAGCACAGAATAGATCAAAGCTTCGGGCCCACCCGCCCTCCCGTGTTCTGTTCCACTCTGCACCTCTCCAGCCTGGATAAGAAGTACCTTCCTCAGTTCCTTCCTTGCCCACGGGCACTGGGGACAATCAATCCCATTATTGCATTTGGTGTAACAGCAATCCTATTACACAGATTGGCCTCGTTATTCATACTCAAAACCAGAGAAACAGAGCCACAGAGAGACATAACCCCGGACAAACGAGACATCGTTTTGGTAATAAAAGCAAGATATATTATTTCAGTCCCATTAACTCACCAAAGACCATGATACCTTTCGTCCAAGATGCAATGAGAACCCTAGCAAAAGCCCCGGCTCTGCCAAGAAGTCAGTCAGCAGGCTCTTTTTCCATCAGCACTCATGTGCCGTGGGTGGGGCTGTATCCCACACAGGCCAAGGCAAATGCTGAGGTCATCCTGGGATAATGCATAAGGAAGTCCCTTCATAGTTTGAGAGGAAAAAGCAACGGCAAGGGTGTCTCCTCGAGATGCTGTCTACCTACACATGGCGTCACCTGAACCCCATACGGATGAAAGAGGCGGTGCGGATGTGTGGGTCATTGCTTCCGTGTGGAAATAGTCTCCTTCAGATTAAGCTGTTTCCCTGTCACTGGATTCGCTTCTGCGTTTGCACATCACTGACCCAGCTAAGGATCTGCCAAGGCTGCTTTCCTTGTCCATCTTAGTTCTTTAGATAGACTTCCCATAAGCCCCAAGGCTCCATTGTGGGCAATGCCACTCTGGGAGAACAGACATCGTGTCGGTATGATTGGCATAGACTTCAGCAACCAGATTCCACTCTCTGGCAGCTGCTTGCGTGGTGTGGCTGGAATACTGTCCCTTCATGCTGCCGTGGAGCCCCGCCTATCTGTCCAAGCGTGGGTGCTGAGATCTACACGCGTGGGCTGGCCCTTCCAGCCTCATGGAGGCTGAAACAACTCTCTGTGATCCACCTTTCTGGAGAGCGGAACACAGACTTGCTGAGAACTGTGTGGAATGATGCCAGGCAATAAACCTACAGACCAAAAAGCATGGGCCCGATGTTCTATCACCCACATACACATAGAGAACCCGCGTTCTTTCTGCCGCACTAGGGTTTCTAATGGGCTGGTCCAGGGATGGTTACTGTGGGATCACCTGGGGAGGATGCAGGCTCCAAACCCCATCCACACCTGCTGAAGCTGGGTGATTCTCATAGTCTGTGATTTGTTTTGTTTTTTTTTTTTTTTTTACATTATCATGTGACGGGGTGTGTGCGTGCGTGTGTGTGTTTGTGTGTTTAACGTGATGTGTGTGGAACTCAGAGGACAACTCATGAGAGTCAGCCTTCTCTTTCTACTGTGTGGCTCCCAGAGACCAAAGTCAGAGGTCAGGCATGGCCACAAGGGCCTGGACCCGCTGAGCAATCACGCCTGCCCTATAATCTGTGGTTTTTTTCAACGACACCCAGATAACTGAAGGAAAGCCACGTGCCGCCACCACTGCCGTATTATCATGCACGGGATGACTTGGAACTCTCTGGAAGCCCCCAGACTGCTGGTCCTGTGTGCAATCATCTTGGTTCTAAGATGTCTTGTGATTTTTTTCAGGGTCCTGGTTCTGTATCTAGGCAATCTCTACAGCTTGATCATTGCCCTTCTGGACAAAGTGAACAGCATCAGCATGAACATTGAGGTGAGTGTCCGGATGGGACAACGCCTACCGTCACTTCTGGACGGGACCTGTCATAGCTGCCATCACTGCTCAGACTGCATAGCCTCCTCCCGCTGCTGCCCAGACTGGTCAGTCACCTGCTACCACTGCCTAGACTGGATGTTCACCCACCGTCAAGGCCTAGACTGAAGGGCCCCCCACCCATCACTGTCCACACTGAACAGCCTCTTGTCATCTCTCCCCCTCAGCACCCCATGTCAGCATCTTCGTCATCTTTGTCCTCTTTACGGCTTACATTTGTGTCTCGTATGGCATATCTCAAACCATGCCACTGTGGTCCTTTTAAGACGTGGAAAAAAATTTAAGACCCACTTTCCAGATTAAAAAAAATTTTACCAGTGCTGTTATGAGAGCCTGGGCTGTTGGCACCGTGTTTCCCTGGGCCGTGCTATCTTATTTTTATGCCTCCATCGGAAAAGACTGTCAGCAGCTCTTTCGGATACCCCCAGGAAGATGCGCCGGCCGCAGGCTCATGGAAAGTGGACGCCACAGCAAACAGTTCCGAGTATGCTCCAGGTCCAGCCCCACAGAGCGGCTTTGCTGTTTATTTCAACCCGCTCAGGCTTCCACAACACCCTGAGCAGGAGGGGAATGGGAGGAGAGACAGGGAGGAGGAGCTTTTTGAGGGTCGTTCACACAAAATACATCATAAATTTCAGGAAATGTGGACCAAAGAGACTATGGAGAGCCGGGGATTTGAAGTCACATAGACCTTGGTCCTTACCTGCCACTTATTAGCATTCTGTCTGGAGCATTAGTCTCCCTGAATCCTTATAGACTTGATCTAAAATCCCCTTGAGGTTAAGAAGGGAGGAATTGTATCACCTAGAACCATTTCTGCTACTCATTAGGGAACAGTGGACACTGTCTATTTCAGCTGGTGTCTGTGGGTGTGGTCACTTCCAGTCAAATAGTAAAAGGGAAGGAAAGAAAGAAGAGAGGAACAAGGGGTGAGAGAAAAGGAGACTAGAGGTGGAGAAAGAGATGGGGGAAGAAGGAGAAGGAGAGATGGAGGGAAAGAGAACAGTCACTCCAAGCTAAATGCTTGCTTACAGACATGAAAATGTCCTTTATTTCTCCCTTCCTTCTCTCCTTCCCGTCTCAACAGGAAGCGGCTACCAAAAACATCACAAGCCATTGGGCAGATCCTTCCACCTTCTATGCCACCAGAACGGTGCCTGAAGAAGCGCAGTGGCCCACACCTGGGGAAGGAGTAGAGCTCAGGAGAAATGCCAGCATGTGGGTCTTGGAAGAGACAAGCATTCTGACTACCATCATGCCCCACACAAAGGCCAACAAGACGGTGCCCTATGTGCAGAGCCCCCAAGGACAGTGCTGGGAGACATACGTTGGCCAGGTGTTTGCCTCTGCCCCTCAGGAAGTCCCTTCGACACCTCACCTAACAACTCTCAGGGACATCACTGTTCCTTTTTCATAGAAAACCATCCGGTGAAGTTTTATTGTCTTAGGTTCCAGGTCTCAAAATTAATCATAGTAATCAGAGCAAAGTTGCTGGGGAGGGGGGTAGTAACTAAGCAAAGTCCTTATAAGATGCTGACCTCCTCAGCCTCGTAGGCACAGATGGGGAAACTGAGGCACACATGGTTAAGAACTTGTGTTTCAGAACCTCAGACCTCAGGGTCTTCCCAAGTTTTGTGTGGATAAAATAGTACGGGCTTTGCCTTGTGACCCAAACTCAAAGTAACAGATACCATCCAAACAGCCATGATGTGGTAGGAGCTCCTCCCTCTGCCCCTGTGCTGTATAAAGATACGAAGGGAATAAATCAGATGGCCTCTGGCTCTGGCTCCAGGGAAGGGACAGAGACAGGGTGGACCAGGGAGGATTGTGGAGAAGACAGAGATGGGAAGGACTATGGGGGGCGGGGCATGGTGGCAGCAGGACCCGCTGTGTTACAGGAGATGCTGAAGCTGTCGGTCATTGACATGCTCTTCACGGTGGCCAGCATCCTCCTCATCGACTTCTTCCGAGGACTTTTCGTGCGCTACCTAAGCGACTATTGGTGTTGGGACCTGGAAAGCAAGTTTGTAAGTGGAATACTGTGTGCTTGGGGATGGTTCTAGAACTAAGTCCACCTTCCGCTGTTGGCCTGCTTAAGAATTAGTCAGGCTTGTGTTGCATGGTGTTTTCTGGGGAGTCTACTTCTGCTCATCTCAAATAGACACTAGAAGTAGGTCCATTCAAGTCGAGCTTAGTGAACCTATGAGACTTGCGAGGGCATGGGTGAAGGGTTACTGGTACCCATGGGTGATTCAGACAGCTACTTCACCAAAATTCCCATGCCAGCACAGGTGATGACGACAAAGCTTACAGACACCTGCGCCGAATCTTTTGTCTCCTTGGTAACTGCTTGTATAACCAATGGGAGGGCCTCCCGAGCCGCGGACATTTCGTGAGCCTCGAAGTCTTGGCTTTCCTAAGTCCCTTGACCCTCCTCCTTCCAGAAGGGAATGCTTTAGTCCAAGAAAACTGCTACATAGGAGCATGGCCCCAGTGGGCAGAGTTACCTCAAAGGGGGTCACGAGGGAAGAGGAAGGGGCGTGCAAGGCTAGCTCTTGCCCCTGCTTTACATTTCACCGTTTGCTCTAAGTATCTATAAGAGCAAAGAAGTCTGTCCAAGTGGCCACATAGAGCCGCTGTGTACAGAGGATTTAGTGGCTTTGTTTTCGACGCCAATGTTTTTCTCTACCAGCCTGAATACGGGGAATTCAAGATCGCGGAGAATGTGCTCCACCTAGTCTACAATCAAGGCATGATTTGGTAGGTCTCAAAAGCTGCTTCAGCTTTGCTTACGTCTGTCATCTGGGCTAAGGTTTCCATGAGCCCAGGTGGACCTATGAACAACCACCATCAGGAAAGAGTATTGACAAGGGGACTATTTCTCAGGCGCGGTCATTTTATCGGTGACTTTCTGAGGGTTTCCAGGAAAGAATGGCAGAGAGGGTGGTTCCTTTTTAAACCACTTCTGGTCGCAGCCCCCCAAAATGTCTGCATAGGAAGTGGTGGAGTCCCTCAGCTAGGAGGGGAATAATCCAGGAAGAGGGACTTCTCGCCAGGAAGGTGTCGGGGACTGTGTGACACTCAGAGCCAAGCCCCATGTTGGTCATTTCCCATCATTTCTTTTGTGTAGACATGGGGGCCAGATGGAGGGCTATTTTTCTGGATAACTGGCACATCCTAGCAAATGACCAAGGCCCTGGCAAACCTCTTTGCCTGGGGCACCTTCAACCAAGTAGATTCCATTCCTAGGGGCACCAGGCACTAGCAAGGGTCATTTTGTCATTCGCTCCTCAGTAGTGTGTGAGTGAGAAAGAAACACAGAACATGCCACAAACCCACTTAGGAGTTTATTAGAGAAATGTGCACAGGCCTGGGAAGTCAGTGTGGAGAGGGAGAGGGAGAGAGCATGCTCCAGCTCTACCTATGGGACCGCAAACGACACTGTAGGGCCAAGTACCATCAGTAAAACAAAAAGAGGAAGCTTGGATATTCCTTACATTCAAGAAATATAATCTCCTCCGTCAGTCATAGAACGCATAGGGAACCCCATCTGGTGTTTGCAGTCATTTGCACTATTTATTTAATGTGTGCTAGGTCCCCGGCACACTGAGTTAATCTTTACTGCAACCCCATCGAGTCACTGCAGTGAGAAAGGAGGCGGCAGAGGCACGAGGAGGCATGCCAGCCAGAAGAAAGCAAACATTTGTTCTTAAAACATTCTTACTTATTAAACACTTAATTTTCTGGCCACTAATTCTGAATTCCACAGGGATCAGTTCAATTGCAAATCCAATACAAATTGATTTTGAACCAAAGCGGAGGCCCTGGGTTTTGTTTTGCGTTTGACATTTGCACCTTGGCTAGATGCCCCAGTGTCCCTGGGGTGGCTGAGTAGTGACTCCCCGTTCACTTTCTTTGCTCTTAAAAGAGTCCACATCTAGACCTAGGGCCACTTTATTGGCATCATGTCTTCCATCAAATTGATGAATTTTCCTAGATTTGCCCTCCTGATCTCTCCTTTTCACAATTTCAGAAGCATAAATAAGCTAACATATACAAGGGTGCTAAGAGCAACGGACAACAAAAGTTGTGGGGGGGGGGGGCAGGGTTTAGCCTGAAACTCAGTAACTTATTAACTTAATTCTTGCCCCAGAACTGCAAAGTCTAAAGTTTAGACCAGGATCTAGTTCTCCAGTGTCTGCTACTCTCTAGAGAAAGCCTTTCCCTAGGAGAGGGACAACCACATTTACCATGGCTCACTTGCAGGAACCAGTGGTACCTCTGGGATGTGGAGACCGTGTCTCAGCTCTCCAGAGGTTTCTGTAAACCATCACGTCTCGGGCCCTTGTTCCGCCATGGGGCTCTGGAACGCAGCCCTGAATGTGGACACACACAGGCTGACTTGACCTTCTGCCATTGCAGGATGGGGGCCTTCTTCTCTCCCTGTCTACCAGCCTTCAATGTCCTCAAGCTCATCGGGCTGATGTACCTGAGGAGCTGGGCAGTGCTGACCTGCAATGTCCCCCACCAGCAAGTGTTTCGAGCCTCCAGGTTGGTAGCAGTATTGTCTGCCTTCCGCTGAGACCATATATATCCTCTGAGCATGAGGTGTTACAGAGGAGGAGCAGCGGGAATTAGTGGAGGGAAACCGGTGGAGCTGGCTTTTAAAGGGGCCTTGGCGCATGCGTACAGCAGCCACACAGCACAAGGCAAGCAGATTGAGATTGGCTAGGTATTTGCCTGAGCACTGACAACCACATCCTGACAGGTGACGGTGCGCAGGCCAGCAGAATGTCTGAATGCTAACACATCCCTTTAAAGCTCTTGGCACGTCTGTTCTTAAGTTTTTACTAACGTCCAGGGACTATCTGGAAAAAAGAGCACAGGTTAGAAATTACCAGGCTGGACGTTCACAGGCTGAACACAAAGGTACAACCAGCATCCACATACGAGCAGAACGTGAGTGATCCCCAGAACATATTCACTTCTCCTTCCTGTCACCCTGATTTCTCCAGAACTAGCTGGGTTTGCCTGGTTTTGCCGTTTGTGTTAAACGTGACACACACAGAGAATGTGTTCCTTTGTTTCAGGGCTGTTTGTTTTTCTTTACTCAACATTTTGTTTTCCTTCCTCGTGTTGCTGAGGAAACACACACAACTGGCCTTCATATTTCTTTATCTGTATTGTGGCTGCTCCCAGCTGCTGACTGTAATGCCCAGCACCCTTGACCATGTTCCTTTGTCAGGCGCATACCACAGGGTTGCAGGTTGAGGGTTAGGGCACGGACACATTAGTTTTCACAGCTGGTGAAAAGTTTGAATTGCTCTACAACCCTGACGCTGCTTACTCTTTCCTGCATTTCATCTTAGCCACGTGACTGAATTCGTAACACATCTTGAGTCTCCTGATTAGACCTCAGTTACAGTGTTTTGTCACATAACTATCTGACAAATTAATTACCACAATAATTAATTAATTAATTATCTGTAGCTCTGTCAGTGGCTATCAAATGTTTTAACATGACCTGGAAAGTAATCAATCTATTTATATTTTACCTGGGGACCAGTATACATTTATGCTTATGTTTGGATATATGTGGCTTTATATATTGACATGTAGTTAATTTAAACTGCACCTCCCAAAGACCCCACAAAGGCAACCATGCATCAGCATGGACTGCAGAGGGTACAAACATTAGCACCTTCCATGCAGGACTTCTGGTTAAGCCCGTTTTGTCAGAGAATGGGGAAGATGGGAAAACCAACAGACAGGGTAGTTGAACATCACTAGACCAATAAACTATATACAGGGCCTCATATATCAAATTGGTCTGACTCATTGTTGGGGAAGCCAGGCCCTTGAAGGCCCTGATACCAGCCTGGGACTCTTTACTCTGAGCAGTAAGGGGCAGAGAGAAAAATGTCATCCAAGGCAGATGGTTGAGGGTCTCTTCCTGAGACCCAAGAGGCAAGCTCCAGGCAGCAGCAGAAAAGGAAGGCACCAGACATCAGTGTTCTAAGTTACACTGATCAGTCAAAGATAGAGAGCAAGTGCAAAATGAATTCAGGCTCAGCAAAAGCAGCAAGGGAGCCAGTCTTGTGGACTGACTGACCAGGAGCTCTGTAAGAGATCTTTTTATTAATACACGAAAGATCATTTAGTGAGTGGATTCCCGAATTCACTTATCTGAATCTCTTATCTGAACTCGGGGTTGCCCTACGGAACCATTACCTAAGCAAACATAGTCATTATAAGAAGTCCAGGTGTGCCCGGAAGGTCTCACAACTGAGATTCTGAAATCTCCAAGATAGAGTGACCCCATAAATCTCAGATAACAATCACTGATATTTACAAGAGATAATTCCAAGGCCTAAGTGGCCATCCCTCCAGAGGAAATGCCAGGTGCAATGGCCCTGTTAATATCCCACGACAATTAGGTAGGGCCCCAGGTGTGTGGGCAGCAGTTCTAAGATTGCCCCCTTGTAGCACTAACTGGGTAGAGGCCGGGCACAAGGGTGTGGAGCCACTGCCATCACCTTCTTGGCTTACAACTTACAAGTGCCCAGCCACGGTTTGTGAAGTGAATTTGCTGGGCTGGAAGCCTTTTGCTGAAAGCTGATTTCCAGGTGTCTATGCTGCGCAGGCCCCTCATACACAGCACAGGTGTGTGTGTGTGTGTGTGTGTGTGTGTGTGTGTGTGTGTGTGTGTGCGTGCGTGCGTGCATGAGCGCTCAAGTATGTATGCAAGTGCATTGCACATGTGTGTGCGTAAGTATGGAAAGCAGAGTTGGATTTTTCTCAGTTACTCTCCACCTTATGGTTTGCCAGTCTGGCCAGCCTGACTGGACAGTGAGCCCCAGGGACTCTCCTGTCTCTGCCTCTTGAGTGCTGGGATTTCTAGAATTATTACAGATTAAACTCACTCAGGTCCTCTTGCTTGTACAGCAAGCACTTTACCAACTGAGCCACCCTGATTAGTGACGGGTTCCATCTCCAGAGTTGCTGCCTGCCTCTGCATGGGTTAATAGGATGTGCTCACTCAGGCTCCAGAGTGAGTGCTGTATGATAACTGGTCTCTCTGCAGATCCAACAACTTCTACCTGGCCATGCTCCTGTTCATGCTCTTCCTCTGCATGCTGCCGACCATCTTTGCCATTGTCCACTACAAACCGTCTCTCAACTGTGGCCCCTTCAGGTAACACACACAGGGAAAAAAAATAAGTAAACAGATCGATGAATATAATATTTTTAAGTAAGAGGGAAAAAAGAAGCCTAGTATGATTCATCACACCTCTAAATCCTAGTGTTTGGGAGGCTGAGGCAAGAGGATTGTCAATAGTTTAAGGCCAGCCTGAGATCCCGAGTGTTATGGTAAAAATAAAACGGCGCCATTCCCCAAGGGGCCCACGGGCCATGGCAGGCAGTGAGTCCCAGGCAGGGAACCACGCTGTGGGTGAGAGACAGAGACATAGATAGGCACCCACCATGCAGAATGAGGTTTGATATTTATTTAGTGGGTTATGGAAGAGAAGGGAAAAGAAGACACCATGTGTTTTAAAGAGAGCAAGGAAGGGATCTATAATAGGTTTGGTGGGAAAAAAATAAAAGGAGAAAATGGTGTAATTATACTATAATCTTAAAAAAGAAAGGAAGGAAGAAAGAAAGAAGAAGGAAGGAAGGAAGGAAGGAAGGAAGGAAGGAAGGAAGGAAGGAAGGGGACATCTGACTATATACCTATATACAAATCTATTTGGCTGGTGTCTACAGTATCTCACTGTACAGAAATCTCAACTGCAGTCTTCATTGATGCCTAAGACAACTTAATTTTGACACCCAAACCCTTGGAGGTGTCTTCATTTGCTCATTAAAAAGTCAGTGTACTTGTACTGTGATCAATTGCCCACCTCCAGTCCTACTGGGTAGCTAAATGACTACTTCACAGAACTTCTGGGAATGTTAGGCATCTTTGCCATTTAGAGATTTGCCTCCAGCTTTTGTAGCTAGTTTGGGAGCTCCACCTCTAGACACCTAAACATTTTTTGATCGGTCTTGAATCATTCCATAGCCAAAAAGCAGTCACATCCGGAATTATCTTTTCATTTCTCACAGCGGGCAAGAGAAGATCTATGACATCGTGTCAGAGACGATAGAGAATGACTTCCCTGCATGGTTTCACATTGTGGTGGGACACATCAGCAGCCCCGTGGTGATACTCCCAGCGGTACTGCTTCTATTGTGAGTGCTACACCTTCCAGCCTACAGGGGCCATCATTCCTCCCAACCTCCAGGGGGCACTACACTTCCCAGCCTCCAGAGGCCATCATACCACCCGGCCTCCAGGGGATACCACATCTCCCAGCCTCCACAGTCTGTCATAACTCTCAGCCTTGAAGGGGCATCAGCCCCTCTTAGCCTCCAGAGGGTGCCACACCCCTCACCCTTCAAGGACACTGTGTGTGTGTGTGTGACCACATGATCACACTGCTGTCCAATAATGAAATGACATTAATCCATCCCGAAATCACAGGAGTTGATGATCCGAGCCACACTTTAGAGTGGCACAAGCCACCATGCCACAGAGAGACATCTGCATAGTTACTGATTCAACCACAGCATCTGTGGATTACTGTGGCCACTATAATGGGACGGGATACTATTAGTACCAGTATAGCATTCTGCAGCAATGTAGAGAATTTTGAAATGCCATCATTCCGCTGAGTCGCTTGTGTTTAGGAGTGCTTTCAGGGAGAAGTAAAACAAGCACCTAGCCCTACCGCTTGATTGGCTGCAAAGTGCCTGCTGATCTTGGTACCTCGTTTTTACTGTCAGGGTGCAGAAACTGAAGGCAATGGGAGGGAGGGAAGGCAGATCCATATTTGTTCGGGATTCAGGAGTCAGTGGGCAGCCCATATCTGACCTGGGAGTGCTTACTTCTTCTGCCGCCTGAGTAGGACTTGAACGCTAAAGAGCCAGCTGAAGCCCGCTCACTGTTCCATGTCCCTTCCAGCATGCTCATCTACTACCTTCAGAGCATCGCCAGGTCCCTGAAACTCAGCAGCCAGCAGCTCAGGATGCAGATCCAAAATGTAAGCATCATCTCCGCTCTCATCCCTGGCGACATCAACCCTGGCCATATGCCTGTACCCTCTCCAGCAGGAGAGTGCAAAGGAACTCAGACCCTCAGGTTATAGCATTACTTGGCCACGTACTATGGTACAAAGTGGCTACCCATGAAGTCCCCTCAAGTGATTTCTAAGAATCCCCGTGGGTTGCTGACATTTGCTGGGAGCAAGCCTGCTCCCTTGAGTAGTCTCAAGGTGCCAGGTACCTCTGCAGACTTTAATAGACTCGTGAGGAGCCACGCTAACCTAACCTGGGTCAACTTTAACCCTTGAGCCCCTAGGGCTGTTTGCACCCTAAGCTCCCCTTCTCCTCTTTCTTATCCTTTAGATACGGCTGGTGTGAACTCCTTTCCACCTGCGGTTCACATCCTCTCCTAAAGTAACCAGATTGAGGCAGACACTTCCAGCCCTTCCACAACTACTCCTCTGTATCCCCTCCCTTAGGGTCTGGAGGAGGACAGGGAAGCATCCAGGGTACCAAATTCAAGGAGGCTTTCTCTGGGTCCCGTCTACCCTGCCTTTCATAACACTGAGAATCATACTTCCTTAAGTGTGGCATCCTGGTCACCTTCTTTGTCTTTACCATTACTGAAGATCAACTCCCTGCACCCTTTCCATTAAGGAAAGAAAAACAAGTGCTCGCATAAATCCAAACTTCTGCAAAGAGCTAAAAAGCTAGCTTTGTGAAATGTCAAGTTAGAAATCCCCTTCCAGCTGCAGAGCATTTTGCCCGTGGATATTTCCCTAGTGGCTGATATGTATTTTCTTTGAAACTGAAGCCACATCGGGCTGAGCCTCCCGAATCTAAAGATCTGAATTGCTTCAAGACCTGAAGGTCTCTGGTCATCAACATGAGGCCATGAGTGGAAAATTCTACACCATGAAAATGTTTTGTGCCCAAAATTATCAAAAGTAGTATTCTGTAAAATCACCTCCAGGCCACATGTAATCAGTACAGATGAGGAGAAAGCGCTAGGATAACCAGAATATGATAACTACAGGTCCCAACTCCTTCGGACACAGGATACTCTGCCTGACTTGGCAGAATGTCACACACCCATGAATTAGTTGTCCTTACAGGAAACCCATCAGGTGCAAAGCCTTGGCTCTTCCATCTTGGTATTGATTCACTCAAGTAGCAGGTCCAGTCTTGGAGGAAGCCACTTGTTTGTCCTGGCTGCCCAGAACCAAAATAACCACACAGAAATTGTATTAATTAAATCACTGCTTGGCCCATTAGCTCTAGCTTCTCTTTGGCTAACCCTTACATCTTAATTTAACCCACCTCCATTAATCTGTGCATCACCATGAGGTCGTGGCCGACCAGCAAAGTTTCGGCACGTCTGTCTCCAGTGGTTCCATGGCTTCTCCCTGACTCTGCCCTTTTCTCCCAGCATTCAGCTTAGTTTTCCCCATTAAGTTCTGCCCTGCTATAGGTCCAAAGCAGTTTCTTTATTTATCAACGGTAATCACAGCATACAGAGGGAAACCCCACATCACCGTCTCTATGACCTGAGCATTCTGTTCTCATTGGTGCTGTTGTGCCCAAGGTCAGAATGATAGCACATAAAGTCTTCTTTTCTCTCCCCAAAGTAAAACGTTAACTGCCTCCTCTGAGGCCCGAAGCAAACTGATTGTTGCATTCACATTTCAGGCAAGATCTGAAGACAAGAAAAAAGTTGCCCAGATGGTAGAGGGTAAGTGAATTCTTCAAATACAAATGTCTACTCTCTACGTTGATGGGCATTTTGAGAAAGGGCAGAAGGCCTACCACTTGTGAAAATGCCTCATAACCGCTGCGGGGTTTTCACAAGTCAGTGGGCACACTAAAGAAAAAACAGGGCCATCCACAGCTCTGGGCCCTTGACTTAATCATGCCCAGGCCTGTCACTAAGCCTTGGACCTCTGCTATCAGAAAGGGGTGAAACAGGAGCGAAAACTCAGTGTGGTAGGGCAGAAAGTGCTCAAGAATCTGCATGTATGGCCACGTGGTATATGCCCTCTCAGGCACCCATCTCTTTACATGTGAGCCTACATCCCAGGCCTCTACCTGGGTCTTCTCCATATGTACTACCCTCACCTAGTGATGCCAGGCAGGCAGGCCTGGCCGCTGAAGCAGATTCCAGAGTAAAGATCCAAAGTCATAGATTCTCCAAGGCCACACCGTCTTTCCTCCAGTTCTCTAAACTCAAACCCATCATGAAGAGAAAGCTAAGGCCAAGAAGAGAGGAAAAGTGTGGGGAGCAAGATTTGATGTAGCTAGAAGGCCAGTTTCGAAGGTTGGAAAGTGGGCAGGTACAGCTCAAAACAGAGCTAGTAACTCTGCTTCTTAAGGCCACCAGTAGAGTGCACTGAGCACCAGGATGCTCAGTTGGTACCACTGGGCTGGCGCACGGCACACACTACCTTCCACGGCATGAAAGAGAATGGGACTCAAAAGTTGTCATGAGCCAGTCCCTGTGGGACTCTAGGAGACTCAGGCCTAAAGCATCACGCCCCAAGGTGACTGGCTTGTGCTATAAAACCCACTGTATCTGTTAGAGATCGCTCGCCATTGTTTAATCTAGGCAGAGCCTCCCCCAAAGCAGGATCCACAGAAACTTTCTCAATCATCCTGCCTTGCTTTAGGAGTACGAGATTATACCCTGTAGTCTTGGGGTGCCCTGGGTTCCTCGAGTTCTCACTTAAGCTCCCTGGATACCTTGTGGGTTCACTGTGTTTGTGGGTGCGGCTGACACCTATAGACTGTGTTGTTATGAAAGTCCTGCAGCTGAATCAGCTTTGTGTCAGCCAGCTTTCTGCCGGGATAACAAACACCCGGCATCACTTTCTTATAGAGACAGTAACGTCTATCTTGGCTCACAGTTCCAGGTGCCAATCTGCTCCACTGGCCCCATTGTTCAGGAAGGGAGTACACAGCACTGCCAGTGTGTGCCAAGCAAGTCTGTTCACCCCACAGTCTGAAGCAGAACAGGTTCTCACAATCCCCTCAGAGCATATAACCCCTACGACCAGAGTACTCACCACCAGGCCCTAGTCTTAAAGGCGCCACCTTCCCCTGCCCCAAGAGTACCAGCTTAGGGACCAGGTCTTAGCGTGTGGGCCTTGTGAGGGACTTAAGGGTCAAAGCATAGTGAAGCTGGACATGTCATCTGCTCCTCCTTCTGCCCGCAGCTCGAATCCAGACTCATGAAGAAAGCACCAAGAGGCTTCTAAAGGAAGGTGACCTCATCAGCCAGCTGTCCTCAGCATACTTGGCAACGCCCCAAAACAATGGCACCATGGTCAACTTTGACTCTCTGAGTAGCAAGAGCCTCAGAATGGAGACGGTCACAAGGTCCCTGCCCCAGAGTCCTGGGCAAGGGTCCAGGGACCCCTGCTCTCCTCTTCCAGGTGGATCCAGATCAAAGCCAGAGCAGGACTCCAGCAGGTGAGGGTGACCTTGACACAGAAAGAAAGTCGACTTCTTCTGTCATTACTGGTGGCAGGACCAGAAGAGCCATCAAGAGGCTGGGGTCCTTGAACTCCAGGTCTAACAGAAGGAGTCAGAAGGCAGGGACCGCTGGGACCCTGAGGATGTGGGAAGTGGGAGGGGAGGTCCAAATTTTTCAAACCTTACATTACCACAGAATCTATAAGAAAATCTTTCTTGCCGCCCAGCATACATATTTCTGTAGCCTAGGAAATTAAGATGGCTTTTTAACAGTTTGTGCCTCCAGACAGGATTTGGGGGTGCAGAAGGCACAGCTCAGCACCATTGCCCTCAGTAGCCTCAGGAGTTCCCCCAAGAGTTTTAAGGACCTGATGCAGGCCAAACTGTGATCTGCGGCTTCCACCTTGGGAAGAATTTCAGGGCTAGCCAGTTTATGAAGTGGAGCTGAGGTTAGAAAAGTCAATTCAATACAGGCTGAAGCAGGAGGGCGAAGTGACAGAGAGGCACACGAAGGGAAACTAGGATGTACTGGAGAGCAGGGGTGTGGACTCCTTTGTTTTGGCTTTGTTGCTGTGTTTGTTGCCATAGGGGTTGAAGTTATTATACGCAGAGGGCTGTTAGGAAATTTAGAGGAGATTCCTCCGGAACACCTGGCAGGATTGCAATTTATAAGATGAAAATATGCCGCTCTCAGGGACACAGGAAGTCAAAATATGGTCACTGGAAACCAAGTGAGCAGTCTTGTTTGAGGTTCCCTGGGGAAAGGAATGGCTCTACTCAAAGTCATAGACATTCAGGCCTTAATCCTGGCTCCTTCCTACACAGAAAGTATCTATGTACGAGAGGGATATGAACCCTGTGTCCCAACCCTCACAGCCAGTGTTGAGTGTGCTGGATTCCTGCTTCTCAGCTGGTGAAAGACTCCGATTACACCCTGGGGTCCTCAGCTCCTTCCTTTCTCCCCAAGCCCCATAGCTTCCCCATCTTTCTATCCAACCTCATTACACTTTCACTCCTAGAATGGCTGTATTAATGGTAAACGGTCTCTGCTTTGGATGAGACTGATCGAGTTATTGGGAAAATCTTCAGTGCATTATTATATGAGCCAACTGCTTCAGACTCCTCTTTCAGGAAGTAGGAGAACCCAGTTGCCTTTAGTGTTTGTACAGCACCCAGATGAGTGAGGGGACACAGTTATGTTGGCCCAAAATCATAGCCAGTTATATTAATCATTTGTAGAACAGAAGATACCATAGAGATAAATACCACTTTTCTTTTTCCTTTCTGCAAGTTATCATAGAAACCAAGATTTTGTCTTAAGCAAGTTTCTTCATATCTTGTAGTACCTACGCAAGTAGCAAGGGACCTAAGTCCTTCTTTGGGGGGGCCTGGGGGGTCGGGGTGTCAAACCAGTCACTAGTCCTTGGAACAGGTATATCTCCCCAACATGGACATTTAAGGGAGTGGCTGAGAACCTGGAGGGCAATTTGGCCACTAGAGCAGTATTCCTAAAATGCACTCCACAAACACTGGTCCCATGAAATGCTCCTAACAGTGCTCTGTGATAGGATATCACATGCACTTGCCATGCATCTCCATGGCGACTGGCATCCCTTGCTGTATAAGGGCTCTGAGATGTCCATTGTGGTCCATGAGTGCATCACCAGCAGATGCTTTGGAAGGAGGGAGAGGGAGGCCATAGCTACTTAACCACTTCTGTCTTACAGGTACCCACATGGGCCATGTGCCAGCACAGGCAACCTCCACAAGAACAGATCCTATACATCCGTGACACAGACACAGCCCCTCAAGGATGTCCGTTCAGAGCCTCTTTCCCGGAAAGACTTTCAGCCAATCAGACCTCGTTTCTGTGGACCTGGGGTCTCTGCCTTGATGACACATGGCCACAGACCCCGTACTCCCAGATACTATGTTGTAAATGAACGTGACTGTCACAGAAAGGCCCACCCGACTTTCTGGCCAGAAAGGCATTTCAAGATAGATGCCTTAGGTGACATTGTGGAGCTGTACCCCAGGAACGTGCAGCAGTACATGTCCTGGGCCCCCCACCAGCCTTGCTCACCACAGCTGAGTGAAGAAGAGGAGGAGATGCTGAGGGCAGATTTGGTCCAATGGTCGATCCCCCATGGCTCCCTGACAGACCTTCCTCGGGCTTCTCGTTTTTACACTGGCGACAGACCAGAAAGTGGGGCCAGAGACCCCGAGTACCAGCGAAGGATGTACTACCGATATGGGGATACTAGTTTTGAGGGGCAGCTTGAGGGGCCCACACTTGTACACAAAAAGCCACGACCCAGGAATGTCCATTACCCACAGCATCCTCTGACGCCCAGAGTCAAAGCCAAGTTCGAACCATCCCTAACAGAATCTGATTCTGTGTCAGCGGCATCCAGCAGTGACCAGCAGAACAGCAACAATGACCAGTACCTGCAGGTCCTGTCCAGCCAAAGCAGATTCCCGAGGTCTGCCAGCCAGCTGGGCAGGAGGAAGGCCAAGTCCAGGCAGGTACTGCCCACGGATCTAAACGACCTAATTTGTTCAAATGTCTAGGCTTCTTTCAATGTCCCTTCCTAAAGACTGGGTCTCTTTGGAAAGTATTGGGAGTCACAGTCACACTCTTTCTGGAAGAGACAGAACCTCTCTGGGGACGTTAGAGATCTGTGGAGCTTCTTTAGGTGCCACTACTGTCTGAGACCCTGGGGCTGACACTTCCTTTTCAATGGTGTGTGAGTGGCCACTCCTGGCGCTTCCTTGCGGCTAGCACACATCACCACATCGGGCTGTCCCTTCAAGAAAACATCAGGCCTTTGATTCTATTCAGGGTGGCCGGCCATGCTCACCAGCAAGCTGGACATCTCACCAGGATTGCGAAAATCAACCTTGACACTGTTTATCTTCAGTGACGTGAGTGAGTGTTTTCTTTGGCCGTGTACTCTTCCAACACACAAGTATTGACACTCTATAGTGAGCAACCTCAAGTGGCCATCCTTGACGTGTTCACGGCATTTAGTTTATGAGGACAATCAGTTTAGTGGTGGCCAGCGCAGCGCACCGCAAGCGTCTTTAACCCTGCATTTAGCTAATCAGGATATGGATCAGACAGGAGTCCAGATTTACACCTGGGGCTCCCTGGTTTACTTCACTGAGAAGGATGGGGATGGAGACTCAGTGTGCGCAGCTGGAAGTAGGGCTCTAACATCCTTGAGAACGCCTGACTTCTCACCTCTTGACTCTCTGTGTTTGCTGACCTTGTTTTCCCCCACTGCCAACAGACTTCCTTCTGGTAGGAGGTGAAGAATTCACAGCCACGGAGATGTTAAGCTGCTAGCCTTCACCCAACAAGCCCAAGGGAAAGAGCCCAGCTCACGTTCTCTACTTCCCGTTGGGTCTGCCCTCAAGGAGTTGTTCCCCGGATCCTCTGACTGACCTTGTGCAGGGTTTGGGAGCTGTTATGCTCCATCCCACGGTAGCCAACTGGGTGCCCTGACTCCTATTCCCATATCTCCTTTTAGACGCTCCGACTTCTAACATTCCTGTCTCCTCTACTATTCTCCGAGTAGCTTTGGAACAAAGACGGCTCCACGGTTCGACATTCCCAGTAACTGGCACACGATAGAAACCACGCATGTTTTCTAGCACTGCCCGCTCTCTATCAGATTAACAAAGGGAACTCTCCACAGATTGAATTTCTCTGAAAACAGAGCACGTCACATTGATAATCCCATAGCACTGTAAACCGTGGGCACATACACAGTCAGGAGCAAAGGTTTCACAAGCAAATGAAGCTTGCCTAAAGCCGTTTCAGGCACCTCTCCGTGTCACTAAGATCAACAACAACAAGGGTGGCACCAGCCCCAGGTCAGAGGGACGTTCTTGCACGGCTGTGCAAAATCGTGGCAGCCCTAGTTTCAGGTTGTGGTTGGCCAAATTTTGTGGTCATTTTCTGTTATTGGGCGCATGTGCACCGATCTCCCCGTTTACAACCCCCACGCTCTGTTTTCCTTCATGCCAGTGCTCAACACAAGAAAACTCGTCTTGACTCTTGGGACTTTCACCCCAAGTAGCAAAGTGAGGGGCGAAGTTGAGGAGACACCATGTAGATGCCAAAGGAGAAAGATGCCAGCTGCCAGCCAGAACCTTACTTACCAGTAGGCCACAGCCTCATGGCGATACACAGATTAATAGAAATGGGTTAATTTAAGATGTAAGAGTTAGCTTGAAATATGCCTAAGCTATTGACCAAAGAGTGTTGTAATTAATATAGTTTCTGTGTTATTATTAGGGTCTGGGTGACCCGGAAGCAAATGCGCAGTCTCTGTCTACATTAAGTCAATGCTATTACCCTACATCAGTCACTGTATTTATTTGTATTTTGAAATCTATTATAGAAATATGCACAGATGAAACGCCTTATGACAGCTGTTTAGTATTTCATTATTTGGATAAGCTACATAATATCTCTTCCTTTTCTTCACAAAGGATATTGAAATAACTTCCTTATCTTGCCGATTTAAAAGGCATACTAGCCGCGTTGCACACCTTTAATCCCAGCACTCGGGAAGCTGAGGTAGGCAGATCTCTGTGCGTTCGAGGCCAGCTTGATCTACAAGAGCTAATTCCAGGACAGCTAGGACTATTACACAGATACACCCTGTCTCAAAAAACCAAATCAATAAATAAAATAAAAGGTGTACTAATTTTTGTATGTTTTCTTTGCAAGCTATCATTGAAGTTATTATTTCCTATAAAGAGAAACCTGCGCTTGTTGGAGACAATCATATCGGGCTTCCCCAGTTTCCTCTTTATAATGCTTTGCAAGCCCAGATGTTGCATCCCCTGCTTTTGCAGATGACTGGAACGTCTTCCTTACAGTCTCACCAAAAACTTAATTTTGCCACATTATGCAAATTTCTACCAGTCTGATGGAAAAAATAATAAATCAAGTGGTTTTAATCACCCTGCGCTTTTCTTTTCCTGTCTTCCTTTGAGCTGATAGGTGACTGGCTCTCAGCGTTTTTTCTCACTTTCCAGCCACGTTGTGAATCTATTACTCTCCTGCCTGGGCTTCCATGAAAGCTCCAAACAAAAGCACAGCCTGCTGATCACTCACCTCCCTTCACTTTGGGAAGACCAGCCCTTATCTGTGCTTTAGGACAGAAAGCTACCAAGTTGCCTTATCAAGCTTGCTTATGGAACTGTGGTCTCACAAGATGCCTGTGTGGTTGAGTAATGGTCCCTGGCAAGGGAGATTGTCTGCTTTTTTGCCCTGTCATCAAACTGTTCCTGGCAGAGGATCCACTGTGTTGTTACAAGTCTGGGGGTCTGGAGGAATAGCTTAGTGGTTAAAAGGGCATGCACTGGAGAAGGTACCTGAGCTGAGCTGAGTTCCATTTCCAGCACCCATGTTGGGAGGCTTTATCGTTGCCAATTACTCTAGTTCATGGGATCCAATGTTCTCTTCTGGCCCCCTTGAACACTCTGTTCATGTGCATACACACACACACACACTTAAAAATAAAATGAATCTTTTAAAACCTCTAACTAAAATCGCTACACAGTATATGTGCTTTCTTTTTCCATCTGTTTGTTTGCAAGTGATTGGTTCCTTTTCTCTTTTCCAAGCCCTTGGAGCCACTGGTCTCTACCTCACCGAGCTGTGACTAGATGATTAGATGCTAAATGACTCAATCCAGGTAAAATACTTGTGTAGGACAGCAGCTATCAAGCCGTAAATGTGAACAAACAGAAACCGTTGCTAAGGGAACGACGCACAGGCATCTCCTTACTTATTTACTGGAGTCACAGTATCTGGAGCTAATGCAATGAATATTCTGTGGTAGCCCCGCTCTGGACACCTAGCTCAAAGCCAGCTAGGGGTTCTGTGAGGCCTGCCAGGGAACCTGGTGGCCTGAGAGGCCAGGACTTTGTGGGAGGACACTGACCAACAAACCATGTTAGACTCAGCCTGGGCCTCCGCTCTCTTTAGCAATCCTCCATGGCGCTAACCTCAGTTCCATCTCCTGTGTTATAGGAGTTTAATGGTTACACAATATCCCACATAATGGGTCTCTTGTAACTTGGCTTAATGCATTGACAAATAAGTTTGTTTCCATTACAAGGGCAATCTTCCTTGCCTTGGTGCTGGTGAGGTTGTTGGGTTAAAGAGGAAGCACAGGCAACTGTTAATATGTATCATTGTTTTGTTGGCAAAACATTGCACACTTGCATGTTAGCATCTGCCGTGAGCATCTCCGGTACTGTTACTAACACAGGGCCCCAACACAGCTTGTTCTGTTTGTTCCCTAGATGGGTCTCCTCATTTAATTTGACCAGGGTTCTACATCTTTTGTGCCACGGTCATTTATTTTGTCACAAAGTATCTTTCCATGTATGATGCTTTCTTTTTTTATTCAAAAAGTATCTTTTTGTTTCGACATTTCTCAATGATTTAAAGCCATTTTTAACAGCCAAATAACTTACTTTTAGTTAAAATATATCTCAATTTTATCTCCCATTTTTATCTTTGATGGTTTTATATGCTTAATTTTTCAAGCACAACAAAATGAGCAGCTTGTACTATTAGAGGCGGACATCCCTGAGCAGGCTTCCTGAACAGTGGCAGATGGGTCCCCTCCTGCCTGCCTCCACGACCTGCTCCTCCACATCCCCGGGGCCACCCCGCAGAAACCCCCCTGGGGAGTTGTTTGCTATGAAAACTGTACGGTCTCAGTCAGAGCCGAAAACCTCTGAGCACCAAGGGGAAATCACCACGCCACTCTCTAGCCCAGGAGTAGTTCCTGGCCCTGCCCAGAGTAGGCAGATGCCCAGCAGGCTTCCTGAATCCCGCCCAGAGATGACACACATCGCAGGGCCAGCCTCCCTCTTCAGACTTGCCGATTTCCAGGAGGGACGGAATTGTTTGAGAGCAAAGACCAATTCTGAGAGGGAGGCGGAGCCCGAAGGCGGGGCTCCAGGCTCCGCCCAAGGCCCGGTTTTCCGCCTAGCAAAACCGGTGCTGCACAGCTGGGACCCTGCACGCCGCTGAGATGGACGTGTCTTGGGCCACTCAAGAGAGTGAGGCGGTGGCGGAGAAGGTGCTCCGGTATCGGCGGGACGAGTCGGGCTGGAAGAAGTGCCGGGAAGGCGTGAGTGAGGGACTGAGCGGGAAAGGGGATCTGGAGACTGTTCCCAGGAGCTTGAGTCTTCCAAACTCCCAGGCTTCTCCTCTCCCTGAGATTTTCTGCACCCCAGCCCCCGGAGGTGGATTGAGGGAGCTTTTCCACGGAGAGTGGCTGCTCTGCTCTCTCGGACTCCCGGAGATCCCCGCCCCTTTCAATGAGAACACACTCAAGGTCACCTGACAGGTTTGAGGTTAGGCTTGGACCTGCAACTCCAGGTACCGAGTCTTTCCTCCGTACACTATAATAATACAGTCCCTTCTCCCAGGAGTGCCAGGGAAAGAAACCGTTTTCTTCCTTGACGCTTCTGATGTTTTCTTTAAAATAAATATCCCTAACTTGCTTGAGGAAACAAAAGTTCTTGGTGGCGTTTAAGGCGATTGGAGACGCGCCCGTGACTTCTGGAGTCAGCCTGAGGGGATCTCGTTGGTCATCACCTGCTGTGGGGCCCCTTAGTCCATGAGGAATCCCAGCTGTGCCAGGAACGGGTTGGGTGACATTGGAGAATCCTCTCTTGAGATCCCAACTCCAAGACTTCCTCTAGCTCTAAACCTCTTGCATTCTGTGCCTTTTTGACAGAATGGCGTTTCAGTTTCCTGGAGGCCGTCTGAGGAATTTCCAGGGAATCTGTAAGTGCACGCTTCGAACAAAGCTTGTCAGATCCTCGACTCCCTTCCTAGTTTCTCTGGGGTTGCCTCATGAGAGATTCCAACCCACCCTGGCCCCCCTGTGATTCCCCAGTCCTCTTCCAGAAAAGCCTTAGCTAGTGTTTTGGATCATTTCTAGCAAGCTGTGTTCCGTGAGGGCTTAGTACCTGTTTGTGCAGGCGAGAGGGGAGGCGGGCTAGCATATTTTAGCCCTGTTTTTAGCCCTGTTTCTGCCCTAGAACAAGGACAGACATGCAATAATAGACTTGATGTAAAATCCTAAGATAAGCAAGTTGAATTGATGTCTTGGGTCAAATTCTTCCCCGTGTTCCAGGTACCGCGGAGAAGGGATTCTGTGTGGGACACTGGAAGAGGTGTGGGATTGCATAAAGCCAGTTGCTGGCGGCCTCCGGGAGAAGTGGGACGACAACGTGACCAGTTTTGAAGTTGTCCAAAGCATCACAGATGTAAGTTTCACTGGGTATTTCGTCTGAGTGTCTCGTCCTGCCGCAGTACCCTGACCCCATCTCCTCTGAAGGCAAGAGGAGTACCCTGCAAGCCATCACAGCTTCGGCCCTCTGGAAACAGCGTGACTCCTCTAAGAGGCCAGAAACCCTCAGCAGAGCCAGGGGCTATAGATGAGGAAACTCCATGCAAGCCTGGGCTCCCCACAACACAGAGGCAGGCCTGGGTTTAGACTAACAGATTAGTTTGAAGCATTGTCAGAGCCACTGACAGAGCCATTTTAGTCTTTTGCCCACAGGAGGACCACTGCATGGGACCACTTCCGGATTGCAGCATCTCCTTTAGGAAAGTGTGTGCCCCGCAGACCAGCCCTGCCCAGCAGAAACCCTTGCTATGGAGCAGCATTGTTCTGCAACTGTCTTGTCTAGTGTGGGAGCCTCAGGTTCCCATGGGGCCATGCAGCCTGAAAAGGTGGCTGGTTTGAGGAAATGAATTATTCATCTTAACAAATCTAAATGTAAATTTAAATAGCCTCGCGGGCTAGGGGCTGTTACAGGAGACAGCTGCAGCCTTGATGAGCCTGCCCCAGCATCATCTCTAACTTTAAGGCCTTGCTTCATTTTAGTCAGAGACACTCAGAAGGATAGAAAACCACAGTGAAAACACATACACAGGCAACGCCAGTGGGGCTAACCTGTGGGATTTGCATGGCGTCTTAGGGTTGCTGTCTAGGACCTCTCTGGCATGGCCTGGTGCTTATGTAAGCAGGTAGCATTGTGAAACCTCACAGTGTTTTCCAGCTGGCCAAGCTGTGGAGCCAGGTGTCTTTGTCCTGACCTCATTTCAGTTCCGTCTGTTGTCCGTGGGAGACTTTGTCAGAGTTGTCTGAAGGATGGGGCGGAAATCCCTGGGAAGACTGGTAATTTCATATCCTTATCAGTCAAAGATGGAATCGAAACACACAGAGAGGATGGTGCTGTCTCAACCCTTCTTCCATCCCTCTGCTGCCAATAAGAAGAGAGCGGATCTCAGGCTCTGGTGTGCCTGTGACCCTATTTAACTCACGTCCCTCACTGTGAGGCCAATGGGCAGCCTGGGCTGGGAGTCAGACTTGAGCGATTTTGCGTGTAATTTGCAGTTGCCTTTAGCTTATGACAAGTGATATTCTCTCTCTCTCTCTCTCTCTCTCTCTCTCCATTTCTAATAGTTAAAGGGCTTTCTTTATAAAACCAGCTGGTCTAAGTGGGGGCATTTGCAGAACCACAATAAACAGATATGATTTTCTTGCTCTGGATTAAGTGACACCAGCGCAAGAAAAGGATGCAAAGAGAGAATACAAAGTATTATGCCCAAGTGGGTAAAGTTGAGCAACCCTTGGTTAATGACTTGTATATATAATACAAATGCCATAACAGAAGGACTTGACTTACATATTTGTGTGTAAGGGGGTATACATGTATGTATGTTCATGTGTGCGTGGTGCCCCAAGAAGTGTCTCATGCAGTCATTCTCTGCTTTATATACTGAAGCAGAATCTCTTGCTGAATCTGGAGCCTGCAGTTCCAGCCAGCATGCCCCAGGCACTCCCTAGGGGCCCCTGCCTTCCTTCTGGAACTACAGCTGAGTTAACACTCCCATCCAGCTTGTGTGTGGGTCC